ACTGATACCAAAAGTCCACCTTTCAGTGCACAAAAATAATATGCCCAAGGCGGCTAGCAGACGTCAAAGTCACGTTGCTACGAAAGGGAGGCTGGGCCTAGCCTGTGGGTGGTGACGGCAAATGGAGAACTTATCTTTCAGGAGAGTTTTAACCCCCGCCTTCCTTCTGTTTGCTTGTTTCCTCCCACCTTTCATTAGGGTAAACCCGATTTGAACACTGCTCTCCCCGTCCGACAGACAGCTTCGATCTTCAAGCAGCCGGTCACCAAGATCACAAACCACCCCAGCAATAAAGTGAAGACAGATCCCCAAAAAGCAGTTGACCAACCTCGGCAGGTTACTCAAAATCCAACAATTAGGTGGAGTTTTTAAAAAGAAAAAAGAAGATATAAGGTAGCGACGAAAATGTAACAACCAATGTTCCCTCTAAGCTGTGGAGTCTTGTGAGCAAAAATTCTACTTTGCGAGCTACCGGCATTAAAGTTGTGGGCGATTAACCAAGGGGGAAAACTCAAAATCCAACAATTAGGTGGAGTTTTTAAAAAGAAAAAAGAAGATATAAGGTAGCGACGAAAATGTAACAACCAATGTTCCCTCTAAGCTGTGGAGTCTTGTGAGCAAAAATTCTACTTTGCGAGCTACCGGCATTAAAGTTGTGGGCGAGCAATTTGGCTACTACATAAATTAGTTTGCTCTGGAGCCATCCTTTCTGAGCTAAGACAAAAATCTGTGAGCTTGGAGGCTAAAAAACGGTGAGCTAACTCACACTAACTCAGCTTAGAGGGAACGCTGGTAACAACAGTGATGGCAGATCTGCACATAAGTTTCTGTAAAAGGTTTCCAGATGTGTAAAAATAAGTCCATACACAATCCTCGCCTTATGTGCCATGTGTTCAAATACTGATAGAGTTCTAAGGACCTCAAACCATTGATTTACTGGAGGTGGGCTTTTATCTTGCCAGTGTTGTAATACGAGTCTTTTAGCTGTAGTAAGGGCAAACAGGGTCCATTTTCATTGACCTTCAGTGAGGCTCCAAGAGATGAGCAGATCGTTGAGAGTCCATAAGCATCCTCAAAAATCAATGAGCATTCTAATACAAAATTGATCTGAGTAATAATTACTTCCCAGAAAAACCAAATGACTGGGCATGCCCGAAGTAGATGTTTCAGGGACGTGTCCTGTAAGTCACAACACCAAGACCCTTTACTCCGTCCTTCACTAAAGAGTTCAGTTTATCCTAGACAGAATTTTTTTTTGCTGAATGAGTCACAATTTTGTTTTAACGTGGTTTGCTTTAAACATATTGTTGGGTTAAGTGTACGGCCTCTACCCTGGGAGAACCGGGTTTGATCCCCCACTTCTCAACATGCAGCTGCTGGTGTGACCTTGGGTCAGTCCCAAGTTCTTCCAGAGCTGTTCTGGAAAGAGCAGTTCTCTCAGAGCTCTCTCTCAGCCCCACCTACCTCACAGGGTGTCCGTTGTGGGGAGAGGAAGGGAAAGGAGTTTGTAAGCCGCTCTGAGACTCCCAAGTGTGAAGGGTGGGGTATAAATCCAATCTCCTCCTCGTCTTCGTCGTCTTCCCCTCTCCACGGAACTCAGACGTGGTTGCTTCGCCCACCTGTGAACCTCATGGCCGAGTAGTGATTTGAACCCAGTCCAGACCTGACCCTCCTGTCCCCTGTGCCACACTGGCTCCTTGTTTCCAGTGGTAGCCAGCAGTGTTCCCTCTAAGCTGAGTTAGTATGAGCTAGCTCACAGTTTTTTAGCCTCCGGCTCACAGATTTTTGTCTAACCTCATGGCCGAGTAGTGATTTGAACCCAGTCCAGACCTGACCCTCCTGTCCCCTGTGCCACACTGGCTCCTTGTTTCCAGTGGTAGCCAGCCTCCAGCACCACACACTGCCTATAGACGCGGCGGATTCCACCTGGTTATCCTCATGCAGGGCAGGTGTTTGGTAGAGTCAGAGAGCAGCCGAGCAGTGATGAGGGCCCGTTCACTGATATTGCCCCGCCCCCCAAAAAAATCTCCATTCCACTTAGATGAGTTGGACTCTTCTTGCTGTCAGTATTTATCTAATTCCTTTCTACCCCACCTCTCTTTTCGACGAGGACCCAAAGCGGCTTACCTCATTCTCCTCCGTTTTATCCTTACAACAACCCTTCTGTGGCACAAGCAGGGGTTCGAACCTGGGCCTTCCAGATACTAGCCCGACCCTCTTAAGCACTACACCGCACAGGCGTAGAGTAGATCTCTGTTTCTCGGCCGTACTAAGAACGTAAGAGAAGCCATGTTGGCTCAGGCCAGTGGGCCATCTAGTCCAGTACCCTGTGTCGCACGGTGGCCAAAAATACCAGGTGCCATCACGAGGTCCAGCATCCATGTTCCCTCTAAGCTGAGTTGGTGTGAGCCAGCTCACAGTCTTTTAGCCTCCGGCTCACACAGTTTTTTGTCTCAGCTCGGGATGGACTGCTCCAGAGCAAACTTAATTTATGCAGTAGCCAAATTGCTCGCTCACCGCTTTAATGCCAGGAGCTCACAAAGTAGCATTTTTGCTCACAAGACTCCACGGCTTCGAGGGAGCATTGGTTTCAGCCTGAAAAATCTGCTTTGATTTTGCTTCTCCCTTGAGCAACCCAATTGCACGAGATGGGTAGCCGTGTCAGCCTGTCTGTAGCAGCAGAAAAGAGCGAGAGTCTGGAAGCACCTTAAAAACTAACAAAATTTGCGGCAGGTTATGATGACCTTTCGTGAGTACCTGAAAAACTGAGCGGGTGACTCACGAGAGCTCACGCCCTGCCGCAAATCTCGTTAGTCTTCAAGGCGCTACTGGGTTCTCACTCTTCTCAATTAAACAAGTCTTTGTTTCCATTTATTTCCTATTTCAGAAATTCCTTCCATGAAAGGTATGCCTGTGTCGAAAAGCCTGACTTCATCAGATCTTGGGAGCTAAGCAGGGCTGGCCCTAGTTAGTACCTGGATGGAAGACCATCAAGGAAGTCCAGGATTAGGGGTGTGTGGCCTAACATGCAAATGCGTTCCTGCTACAAAAAAAAGCCCTGGGTTTTGACAACAAACAAGGTAAACAGAATAAGAAGCAAAAGGTGAGTGTGTCTGGATAACCACTCTTCTGCGAACATGGGGTGTGTGGCCTAATATGCTAATGGACTGTGCTGTCAGGGTGTGTGTCCTAATAAGCAAATGAATTTCTGCTGTTGGGTGTGGCCTATTACGCTAATGAGTTCCTGCTGGGCTTTTTCTACCAAAAAAGCCCCGGTCGCCTCTATTACTTGAAGCTGGAGATCCGTCCTCTCCCTTGGAAAGGAGGTCGGGTCCAGTGTTCCCTCCAAGCTGAGTTAGTGCGAGCTAGCTCACAGTTTTTTAGCCTCCGGCTCACACTTTTTTGTCTTAGCTCAGGAAGGGACGGCTCCAGAGCAGGCTATTTTATGCAGGAGCCAAATCGCCCGCTCACAATTTCAATGCCAGTAGCTCACAAAGTCGGATTTTTGCTCACAAGACTGCACAGCTTAGAGGAAGCCCTGGTCGGGTCGGGTCATATATTAATGTGATTGTTTTTTTTAAAAAAAAATATTCATGTACCTTATTTATAGCCAGCCTTTCTCACAGGGACTCAACGGCAGATGACACAGAGTGGGTCAGGATCACCAACAAAACAGAACGTTCAGTAGGACTGTAGAGAGCCAGTTTGGTGTAGTGGTTAAGTGTGCGGACTCTAATCTGGGAGAACCGGGTTTGATTCCCCACTCCTCCACTTGCACCTGCTGATGTGACCTTGGGTCAGTCACAAGCTCTGGCACAGCTGTCCTTGAAAAAGAGCAGTTTGTGTCAGAGTTCTCTCAGCCCCACCTACCTCACAGGGTGTCTGTTGTGGGGAGGGGAAGGGAAAGGAGTTTGTAAGCCGCTCTGAGACACCTTTGGGTAGTGAAGGGCGGGGTATAAATCCAATCTCTTCTTCTCTTCTTTTAGAAGTTTTGAACCAAGCAGAAAGAACGGAAGCACAGTCCATTAACATAATACATCAAGCATCACAAAAATGCACTTTGTCTATACGTTCTAGAACTTTCTCCCTTGTCCACCACTGTTTGCCTCAGCTCCTTGTCTTCCCCTCCTGAAAAACATACGTTCAGGAACAGCTGTTTGCCTTATATCTTCAGCAGTGAGGGCAGATGAGAAGAGTTCATTGAGCTTCTCGGCAGTCGCCTTATCCTTCTTTAGTACCTTTTTGGTTCCCTTGTTATCCAGTAGTCTCAACTGCTTCCCGAACCAGCCTCCTGCTCCTCATGTATTTAAAGTCTCCTTTACTGTGTTGATCTTTATGTTATTCCCCCTTCCTTAGCTCTTCTGGGAGAAGAAACTAAGCGGCCTCAATGCCTTTGACATTGCAGAGGAACTGGTGAAGACGATGGATCTCCCGAAAGGTTTGCAAGGTACCGTAGCCGAACACTTACCAGCTAGTTCAGGGGTGTCAAACATGCGGCCCAGGGGCCGGATCAGGCCTCCGGAGGGCTTCTTTCAGGCCTGCAGTGGAACTGGCAGTCTTCTGCTGCTTCTTCCAGTTCTGCTGCTGCTGTGTCATCGTAGGTTTGCAGCTTACAGATACACACCTCAACAGCATACTCAAGACTGCAACAGCACAGACAGTTTGATACAGTAATTCAGAGCAAGAGGTGTCAGTTATCAGGCACTGTTAAATAAACAAAATATTGCAAGGGTGCTAATGTTTTAAGCATGTTTTAGTAAAATAAAACCCCTTTGTGTTAGTGTCCTTTATAAAGTTTATATCTCCACTACCGGGCATTACATTTGATGACACACATGGCCCAGCCCAACAAAGGCTCATTTATGTCAGATCCGGCCCTCATAACAAATGAGTTCGACACCCCTGAGCTAGTTAGCCTTAGAACTGGAAGGGGCATCTAGTCCAACCTCCCCCCCCCCAAGTGCAGAAAATCCAAAGCTAGACCAGGGGTCCCCAACCTTTCCGAGTCTGTGGGACATCTTTTGAATTCTGACCCTGGGTGGTGGATGCAACCCCAAAATAGCTGTCATGAGAAATGGTGCCACACAGAAGTGGGTTGAAAGGAAGTTATATCCATTGCTGGTGCAGTTGTCCATTATTCAGGAATACTGGAAAAGAGTAGTTAACACATATTAAAAATATTTTAGGAGTTCAGCTATATCTTAAGTCGGTGATATTATTGTTAAATTATGGTTTTGGACCTTCTGCTACAGAATCCACCCAAAAAACCATAACAATTTTGTTAGCAGCTGCTAGGATGATTATAGCATATCAATAGAAGAGACACTCTAAACCTACAGTAAAAACGTGGTTTAATAAGATAGCTGTACACTTTGTGTTGGATAAATTAACAAACACAATGAAACAAGCAGAAAGCATCGAATATCAATCTCACTTCGTAGAAAAATGGTTTCCTATAATACCGTATTTGTCAAACAATGATATAATATCACCTTTGTATATTCAAGAAATGTTGCTTTCGCTAGATGAGGATTCTTGGTTGTAATGTTCGCGGTATGTAAGACTTTGATAATCATCTATTTAGCTTTAATAGGACAATTTACTTAACGTACTTGCCTGTAATTCAGTCCTTTGTGCTCTCACGTTGTGTAATCACTCTTGAAAAAAGAGAAAGAAACCTTATGGTTATTTTTAAAAATTATTAAAGGAAATGGAGCCACTCACATGAAGAGGAGGCCCAAGTGCAGGGAACAAGAGAAGTAATTTTTAAAAATATATTTGGAAAGAAGAGAGAGAGAGAGCAGAACCAACACTGTAGTGACAGCCTACACCAGGGGTGTCAATCATGCGGCCCGGGGGCTGAGCCAGGCCCCCGGAGGGCTTCTATCAGGCCCGCAGTGGAACTGGCTGTCTTCTGCTGCTTCTTCCAGTTCTGCTGCTGCTGTGTCATCGTAGGTTTGCAGCTTACAGATACACACCTCAACAGCATACTCAAGACTGCAACAGCACAGTTTGATGTAGTACTTCAGAGCAAGAGGTGTCAGTTATCAGACACTGTTCAATAAGCAAAATATTGCAAGAGTGCTAATGTTTTAAGCATGTTTTTATTTTAAGTAAAAAAAACCTTTTGTGTTTGTGTCCTTCATAAAGTTTATATCTCCGCTACTGGGCATTACCTTTTATGGCACCCATGGCCCGGCCCAACAAGGTCTCGTTTATGTCAGATCCGGCCCTCATAACAAAGGAGTTCGACACCCCTGGCCTACACCATAGAGTCAGAGTTGGAAGGGACCTCCAGGGTCATCTATTCCAACCTCCTGCACAATGCAGGAAATTCACAAATACCTCCCCCCTTCCACACACCCCAGCAATCCCTGTTCCATGCCCAGAAGATGACGAAA